GCAGCCCCCCACCCCCGCCCGCGGCCCCCGCTACCACTCACCGGCCGCGGCGCCGCTCCGCAGCGGCGACTAGGCCGCGTCTCCATAGCAACAACGCTTTTCCCGCTTCAAACCCTCGCGCCCGCCAGCCGGCGAATAGGGGAGAGGGAGAGGGGCGGATGGGGCGTGTCCCGGCGGAGGGAGGGGCATGTGGGAAGGGAACAACCAATCGGAGATCTTTGCGGCCGGACAAGGGGGCGGAGCCTAGGGGGAAGGAGGGAGGAGAAGGGAATGGTGGGGAGGTGCTACCCTTCCCGAGCCTGCCGACGCTTGTCATTGGTTAAGGCTGCCTTCACTCATGCGTCGCGCTCCGCCTCCTCCTCCGTCCCGGAAGTGAAGGTGAGGGGCGGCTGAAGTGGGGGGTGACCCGGGGGCCTTGTACCTCCGGTTTCTCGCAGTGACCCGGTGTGTGCTGTGTGTGGGGGTGTGCGGTGCCCCGTCCCGTTGCCATGACAACAGCCTTCCTCCCCCCGGGCCGCCAGGCCTAGTTCCCCCCTCCTCATGCCGTTGCCGGGGGATGGAGGGCCGGGAGCGGCCTAGTCGAGGGGGGGCTGCCCACGGCGGGAGGAAAGGAAGGGGAGCGGGTCGACGGGGGTGGGGGAGTGGAGTGTTCGGGGAGATTGTGGGTCATGGCGGCCCTGGGAGAGTTTTGTCCTTTCAGGCCGTGGGCGTTTCCAGGTGCGCACGGGAGGTGGTGCTGGCCTCCCGCCTTGGGCGGCCGCCGGGCTCCCCACCAGCCCGGCTTTAGTGCCTGCGGTTCGGGGGGTGTGTGTGGGGGGGGTTGTCTTCGGCGTGGCTGGTCAGAGACTAATTGAGGCGGTTAAGGAGGGGTTCACCGAGAGGGCTGAAAGCTATCCTGGGGCTGGGTTGGTGGGGAAAGGAGTCTGTGCTGTGGTTTCCCAGTTTGGAGGTGTTGCCAAGGCGCACTGGGCGTCTAAGGGAAGAACAACAGTGTTGCCTGAAGGGATTATTCACTGAAGTGTGCAACTCTGTCAAAAAACAAAGCTTTGCCTGGAATTCTGAAATTCTGGATTCTCTCATCTCCGTTGCTTTCTCTCTTTTTCTGTATAGGACCACTTTTTCTGGCTGCATATCTTATTGATCACAATATTTGTCACTTAAGAGGTGTGTTCCTTTCTGTTTACATCGAATTAGTGCTTAACATGTGTGCCAAAAGCCTTTTAGGTTTGTGTAACAGCCTTATGTCTAGCCCAGACAGACAGCAGAGGGCCGATCCCTTGGGATTCATTCTCTCAGCTTTGCCATTGGCATCTTGAGTTCTCTGCTGCAGGGGCAATGATTTCTGTATGCCACTTCTAGTAATTTTGAGGTATTATCTTTGCACAGAGTCTTTGGATTTTTTTCAGTGGAAAAGCATCAGATTGTTAATCACTGTCTTTCCTTTTGCTTTATAGCTTGGTTTTATTATTTTGTCCTACAGTGTGGTGTTTAATATACCAGCAACAAAGAAGTGTTATGCAAGTCATATTTTGTGCTTCTTGATAATTTTTTTTTCTTAAACCTTTTATACAGATTCCTGTTTTCTTGTTTTTAAACGGAAAGGACTAAATTTTTTACAATTCAAATATAGGTAATAAAATTTAGTTTTACTGTATGGTAACTACAAAGGGATGGATGACTTTTGGCTCACACTGAGATACATGTCCTGGCTAAATATGACTGGTTTGTTTGTGCTCCACGTTTTGTGTTGCTCCTTCTTGATCCTCTCTGTTCTCCCACAGCTCTTCGTGCAGTTAACAGAGGGACATGGCTGTGAGAGCTTGTGGCTTGATCATCTTCAGGCGGCTGCAGTCAGCGCCATCTTCTAAGGTCACTGACGGTATTGAGTACCTCCTCCTTCAGACATCCTATGGGACCCACCACTGGACCCCACCCAAAGGTGATGTTTGTTCTGATAACACACTTCAGAGCCATTTGTGTCCGGAGTGAGTGAGATTACAGACTGAACTTTGGCTGAACGCTGCTAAGGTCAGCTCTGCAGGGCAGTTAATCAGTTGACAGTAGCCACTGATTGAGCTGTTTGTGCAGCAGAGCTGGGCTGAAATTCTTTGCAAGTATTGTATAAATGCTTGTGTTGTACATATACTCTTGGGAATGAGTGACTGGGGCTGTGGGTGGGTCACCGAATCTGGTTCCTCAGGTGTGTGATGTTTCTGGCAGACGTCGAGCAGACAACTGAAATTAGGTAGCTACAGAAATTTGTACCTTCTCACTCAGGTCTGACCCTCTGCCAGATGCTGCTGTTGCTAATGCACGGTTATTTGGCCCACGTGTAATCAGGAGGGTCACAGTTTGCAGTGCAACATTAGAAGGTAAATTGAAAGCAGTGATGATTTGCTTTAAAACACATTCTTTAGGAGTTTCTTTAAGTTCTGGAGATCATTGATGAAGAGCACATACCTAAGGCAACAGAGACAAGAGGGACAGCTGGGAGAAGTAACCTGGTCAGCCATTTACATCTAAGCCATCCTCACTCATTAGTGAGGTCTCAAGACATACAGCAACACCTTGTCTGCAAAGCCAGTGTTTGGTAATACGTTGTCACAGCCCTGGTTCCAGGAAAAGCACAGCACAGAAATACTTCAGGTTCCTTGTAGATCTTCTTATATGCTGGTTTTGGCCCTCTGAGATTTCTTCCTGCTAGTTTTCACTTCTTGTTTTGTAAAGTGCAGTGCTCTTAAAGCTACTGCAGGAGCCACTTGTAAACAGGAATTTGAAAATTGTAAAAAAAAAAAAGCTTGTAACAGTATCAACTATGTTCTCCTATTAAGGGAAAGAACAAAACTTTCCAAGCCTTCGCCTTTGTCCACTTCACCAAAAGCCTAAGGGATTAGAGTTTGCAGCCTACTGGAAAGCTAAAAAACATGTGCTGGCCTTGATTGGTTGTTGCGGGAGGAGAGACCCGTGTGGAAAGGTTCACTGGGAACACAGTGATTTTGGACAAGTGATTGAAATGACTTGTGTGCATTTCAGGAGGAAGTGAAGTTACTCATAGGCCTACGTCTCACACACTTAAAATCGTAGAATCATTGAATGGTTCAGGCTGAGAGGGACCTTTAAAGGTCATCTGGGCCAACCCCCTGGCAATGAGCAAGGGCATCTTCAACTAGATCCGGTTGCTCAGAGACCCCTCTGACCTGACCTTGAATGTTCCCAGGGATGGGGCATCTCCCACCTCTCTGGGCAACCTGTGCCAGTGTTTCACCACCCTCATGGTAAAGATGGCTTCCTTGTATCTGGTCTGAATGTACCCTCTCTTTGTTTAAAACCGTTGCCCCATGTCCTGTTGCTACAGGCCCTGTTGAAAAGTCTGTCCCCTTCTTTCTTCCAAGCGCCTGTGAAGTATTGAAAAGGCACAAGAAGGTCTCCCCAGAACCTTTTCTTCTCGCAGCTGAAAAATTCCAGCTCTCAGCACATCCTTATCGTAGAGGTGTTCCACCCTTCTGATCATGTTTGTGGCCCTCCCATGGACCCACTCCAGCAGGTATATGTCCTTCTTATGTTGGAGGCTCCAGAACTGGATGCAGTACTCCAGTAATCCAGGTGGGATCTCACCAGAGCACTGTAGAGGGGCAGAATCACCTCCCTTAACATATTGTTTAAGGTTTTATCGATCAAAAGCCGCATACAAAAGCCACAATCTGATAGCCTTTAATAGTAGCTTTTTTACACATTTGGGGGCAATAAATAATGGAGAGCTATTACATTGTATATTCTTTGTGACATGAGTCATCTTCAGAGGCAGCCTCAGGTTGCGTTATGGAGGAACATAACTTGTAGATATAATGTGTTAGGAGCCAGAATGAGAAGATGTAATCATCTCTTCAAGAGCACACAAAAGGCAATTTATGGCTACAGCTGTACATTGATATTTTAAAAGTTCCTTGAGCTACTGCAACTGTTAGGGGATTAAACTGGACCTGCTTGCATCCCCCTGGATAAGCTTCGTCCTCTGTACTCCTAGAACTGTGACTTTGCACTAGCCGAGGTTGAGGGATCTGGAGAGTAAGTCTTATGAGGAAAGGCTGAGGGAGCTGGGATTGTTCATCCTAGAGAAAAGGAGGCTGAGGGGAGACCTTATTGCTCTCTACAACCACCTGAAAGGAGGCTGTAGAGAGGCAGAGGTTGGTCTCTTCTCCCAAGTCACAGGAGATAGGACAAGAGGAAATGGCCTCAAGTTGTGCCAGGGAGGTTCAGATAGGAAAAAAATTTTACACTGAAAAGGTTATTAAGCCTTGGAATTGGCTGCCCAGGGAGGTGATTGAGGCACCATCCCTGGAAGTATTCAAAAGACAGGTTGATACAGTGCTTAGAGAAATAGTTTAGTGATAGTGACGTGGGGGTTATTGTTTGTTTTTTTTTGTTGTTGCTATTTCAGTATTTGTTTAAAATCAGAGTTAGGTTGATGGTTGGAGTAGGTGATCTTAAAGGTCCCTTCCAACCTAGACAATTCTGTGATTGGAAGGGGATGTGGTGTTGACAGAATCACAGAATGATAGGGGTTGGAAGATTGGAGATGATATTCAGAGATCATCTGGTCCAACCCCCCTGCCCAAAAAGGGTCACCCAGAGCAGGGTGGTCAGGAACCCATCTGGGTGGGTTTTGAACATCTCCAGAGAAGGAGACTCCACCCTGTCTCTGGGCAGCCTGTTCAGTGCTCTGTCACCCTCACAGTAAAGAAGTTTTTCCACGTGTTGAGACAGATCATCCCTGTGTTCCAGCTTGTGCCTGTTGCCCCTTGTCCTGTCACCAAGCAGCACTGAGAAGAGCCTGACCCCATCCTCTTGACACCTGCCCTTTAGATTTTGATAAGCATTAGTGGGATCCCCTCTCAGTCTTCTCCAGGCTAAACAGACGCAGGTGTCTCAGCCTTTCCTTGTAAGAGAGATGCCCCAGTCCCTTGATCATCTTTGTAGCCTCCACTGGACCCTTTCTGGCAGTTCCCTGTCCTTCTTGAACTGGGGGGGCCAGAACTGGACACAGTGCTCCCGATGGGGCCTCACCAGGGCAGACTAGAGGGGGAGGATGACTTCCCTCGACCTGCTGGCCACTCTCTTTTTAATGCACCCCAGGAGACCATTGGCCTTCTTGGCCAAAATGGCACATTGCCGGATCGTTGTCACCTTGTCCACCAGGACTTCAAGGTCTCTCTCTACAGAGCTGCTCTCCAGCAGGTCAGCCCCCAACCTGTACTGGTGTGTGGGCTTATTCCTCCCCAGGTGCAGGACACTACACTTGCCCTTCTTGAATTTCATCAAGTTCATTTTCCTCCTCAGCATATTGGAATTGCGTTAGGGCAGGAGGATCTGGAAGCTGTGGTGTGAGGTGCTGCCAGCAGTCCTTTTTTCTCCCAGTAGATAGACTGTATTGCACAAAGTTGGAAACTTACTGAGCTTAGACTTGAGGTTATCAACAGCAGGGTGAGGTGATTGCCTTTTGCTGTGCTGCAGAGCAGGAGTTTTCACTGGTGTCCTTCCAGTTGAAAGTGAATCTAAGCCCTCCTGCTTTAGTGATGCCTCAATTCATTGCACATTTGATGACTACAGATCATGACTATCTTAAAAAATAGTGGTTACTTACTGTTCACAGATGTTCTGTGGGCATTTGCTACGGGTACTGTGAAAGTAATCCAGCTGTGCAAGGCCAAGTGGATTCTGTTTCTCAACTATTAGTGAAGTCCCAGCTATGGAATCATAGAATGGTTTGGGTTGGAAGGCACCTTAAAGATCATCTGGTTCCAACCCCCTGCCATGGGCGGGGACACCTCCCACTACAGCAAGTTGCTCAAAACCCCATCCAGCCTGGCCTTGAATAACTAACTCCAGGGATGGGGCATCCACAGCTTCTGTGGGAAGCCTGTTCCAGTGTCTCACCACATTCACATTAAAAAAATTCTTCCTGATAACTAATCTCATTCTCCCCTCTTTGAGCTTAAAACTGTTACCTCTCATCCTATCACTGATAATGAGTCCCTCCCTATCTCTCCTCTGGGCCCCCTTGGTATTGGAAGGCTTCTGTAAGGTCTCCCTCGAGCCTTCTCTTCTCCAGGATAAACAACCCCAGCTCTCTCAGCCTTTCCTCATAGGAGAGGTGCTCCAGCCCTCTGATCATCTTTGTGGCCCTTTGCTGGACTTGTTGGAACAGGTCTGTGTCCTTGCTGTGCTGAGGGCTCCAGAGCTGGACACAGTACTCCAGGTGGGGTCTCACCAGAGCAGAGGGGCAGAATCTCCTCCCATGACCTGCTGGCCACGCTTCTTTTGATGCAGCCTGGGATGTGGTTGGCTTTCTGGGCTGCCAACACACACTGCTGACACATGTTGAGCTTCTCATCAACCAACACCCCAAGCCCTTCTCCTCGGGGCTAGTCTAGATCCATTCTCTGCCCAACCTGTATTTGTGCCTGGGCTTGTCCTGACCCAACACATACTTTGTCAAAAAGAAGGAGATAGCTTGACTTAACGGTGCTGAGAACCAGGGGGAAAATATTTTTGCTAAACCCTCAGTGTATTTGATCTCAAATATGCAAGATGTCAAATGCAACATCAGATGCTAGTTTTTGCCCAGTTCCCACTTGAAATAGAAGTGTATTTTACATTTGAGATGTTGTAACATGTTTCTTACAACATTTCATGTTGTAAGAAAGAGGTGGTTAAGCTTCTGATATGCACACAAAGAAGCGAGTGAGACCTGTTGGGAACCCAAGTGAGCCCCCCACATGCCCTAGTTGTGGTACTAAAGGGTGGCTTTGGGTACCTGGGACCTGAGGAAAGATTAATCTCTGTGATGAAATTATGGTTATTTGCAGCCAGCTACAAAGAAAATAGAGTGACACAAAGGGCAAAATAAAACTTAACTTTTTTTTCCTCTTGAAGCCTCCCAACTCCTGCTATGTTGCTTTTTTGAGCTCTTGCTTGGCTTGTTCTATTTATGTTCTGGTCTGGAGCTTTCATGAGAAAACCAAATCTGACATTTCTCAACAAAAGTATAAACAGCTGGGGATGTGTTATATTTATCCGTTGTTTGTAATGGCACCTCTCATTCTAAGCAACGTAAAATAAATGATGTGTCCTAGAAGAACTACGCAGCCGGTGAAAGGTCTGGCTTATAGGCTTGCTGTGTTTCAGAGAGGAATAGGGGAGAGAAATAAAAATACCCGCAACTGAAACCCACCTTTTAAGTGGCGTTTGTTGGTGCCTGGCCCCGTTCTTTTTGGGCTGATGGCATGAGTAAGAGTTTTGCAGAGTTTAGCCTTCAGCTTCTGTGGGAGGGGAGGGTTGAGAGAGGACTAAGGCCCTTACAGATGAGCCATCTCCCCTCTACCTGGATAAAGGAAAAACATTCATGAGGCACTAGGTCCTCAGTGTGATCTAAGAGGGAACATTACGGGTGCAGAGTGCTCCAGAGGAGGAGAGAAGGACTGGGAAGACAAGATGTCTAGTGCTGACAAGCCGCCATGAGTTTCAGAAGATGTGGGTAAACAATGATCCTAAAAGCCACAAGACAAGGACAACTCAAGATGTAAGAGTTGAAAAAGGAAAAGCAATCTCTGCTCTCCAATTTCCATTTCATTCTGTATCAGCTACAGTGTACTCTCATCTCTGGCTCCCAGTGTTCCCTAGTTGTCAAGTGAATACACAAAACCTGAGTTTTCTTCTGAGAGACTTACTTTTTCACCTTCTTGACAGGCCATGTGGACCCAGGAGAGGATGACCTGCAGACAGCCTTCCGGGAAACGCAGGAGGAGGCTGGTCTCCAGGCCAGTCAGCTCACCCTCATAGAGGGCTACAAGAAAGAACTGCATTATCCTGTCCGTGGCAAACCCAAGACCGTCATTTACTGGCTGGCAGAAGTGAAGGACTTTAACACAGAAATCAAGCTCTCAGAGGAGCACCAGGCTTTCCAGTGGCTGAAGCTGGAGGATGCTTGTAAATTTGCAGAATATGAGGACATGCAGGCAACGCTGAAAGAAGCACATCAGTTTCTCTGCTCCAAAGAATGAATACTTTTGGGAAGGATAAGGGGAATTTTTGAAAAAACATGGCCTGCTTTTCCTTTTTTTTTTTTTTTTAAACCAGGGGAAGAACTATATCATTGCAAAAATGTAGATTTCTTTTTTTTAAATCTAAACGAATTCAGTGGGGATACTTGGAGCTTGAGAGAGCTTATGCTTTTGTCTCCTCTAGCTGATGCAAAAAAAGCATGGTCTGATTGAAGCATGAGCCAGAGATGTCTGAATTGAAACCCAGAGCTAACAAAGACTTCCTTTGTCCCTGTCTCCTTTTCTGTTTCCTCTTTTTTTTTTTTTTTTCCCCTCAAAGGGCTGAGCAGACACAGGTCTTTTTGAAAAATCAAACACTTGATATTTCTTGACTTGCTGATGTAGAGCTGCATATGAGCATATGGAGATTTTTAATAACAAAATGTTTACTGCAGAAGTTGCACCTTGCATTTCAAATGGGGAAGCTGTAGTTCTATTCCCAGCTCCTCCGCTGATGTGCTGTGATAACTTGTCAAATCATTTCAGGTCTTGTTTGTTTGTATCATGACTTTGTGTACATCACTGATGTACTGTTATGAAAACACTTCCCATCCAAAGACTCTTAGTAAACAGTTGACATACAGTATTAAGATGGTAAACTTGAAGTTCTTTTGCCTCTTTCTTTTCCTTTGTTCTTCTTTGACGGGCACCTCAGCCATATATTACTCAGGGGGTTGGGAAAGGGAAATCTATCTGCCCAATATGGCATTTTCTGCACAGAATATCTACGCTAATGTACAATCTTGTTTGATAGCACCCGTGTTTCTGTGACTGCAGCCTGCACCCGTGTGTGGGCAGCAGGGCCATGTGCCCTGCTGGTGCTGTGCTGTGGGTACTCGTGCTGGGTGACTGCAGAAGCCTGTGGTGGTACCAATGGGCTCGCCTGCATCGGCTTTCTTCTGGGCCTCTTTTTTGTCATTGACATTGGTGGGAACGGAGGTTCTGAGAGCTCTCTATGATTATGTGTGTTCAGTTATTAATGCTTCGCAATCTTTTGGATGTTCTGGTACCTAAATATCAAAAAAACATGATGGCGATATTAAAACTTTTAGGTGAGGAATGTGGTTTCCTGAATCCCAGGCAATTCTGGGGGAGAGCGAGTGGCACTTCTTCCCTACGTCTCCTCTAGCCTTTACTGCCCAAGTACTTGGAACTTGCAAAGCAAGTAAGTGCATGAGGAAGTGGGCTCTGCTTCTGCTTTGTTGTCCTCCTTACTGCAAGAGTGAAGCGAGGGTCATCAGCATCGCATCAGCCCTGGGGAAGACCTACAATACCAGATGTGCAGCACAACTGGGCTGAGAAATACAAGCAGCAGTTCTGTATTGTGTTACTCCCCAGTTATGCAGCACTCATCCTTTGGAGCACCTCCCTCACGAGGAAAGGCTCAAAGAGCTGGGACTTTTTATCTTGGAGAAGACTGAGAGGAGACCTAATCTATGTTTACAGGTATCTAAAGGGTGGATTGAAGGATGATGAAGCCGGACTCTTTTCAGTGGTTTCCAGTGATAGGACAAGGGGCAACGGGCACAAGCTGGAACATAGGAAGTTCCACTCAAATCCAAGGAAAAACTTCTTTAGGATGAGGGTGACAGAGCCGTGGAACAGGCTGCCCAGGGAGGTCATGGAGTCCCCTTCTCTGGAGATTTTCATGACCCCCCTGGATGCAGTCCTGAGTAATGTGCTCTGGGCAATCCTGCTTTGGCAGGGGAGTTGGACCAGATGATCTCTAGAGGTCCCTTCCGACTCTGGCAATTCCATGATCTGTGGAGCTTACACTAATAATGTTAGTACCACTGTGACAGTGATGTCTTGCTCATCACTCTATTATCTTCCTGTAGAGGGATTTTTAAAAGCCCTCTTATAGCACATCCTTTATTTTTGGTGTGTATATGTATGTGTGCACACATACACACACACACACAAAAGGATGCAGTGTAAGGGGGCTTTTAATATGTACATATGCACACATAAACAATTTCAGTGTCCCTCCACTTTACAGTCAGGTTTTCTTTGGATTATGAACACTTGTGTACAAGTGTTGCGTTTGGGTGACAGCAGAGAGGGAACAGGACACAGGCTGTGTGGTTGCTCAGAGTGTTTCTCAGCTAGCTGTAGAAGCAGAGGAGGGAAGGTGTCTCCTGCTGTCACCAGGTCCAGCCCCAAGGCAGAATCAGCTATTTTGGATTCTTTCCTGAATGGATGTTTGGCTGATGTACCTTTTAAGACCTCTTGTGATGAAGACTCACACCTTCAGCTTCTCTGTCCATACCTTGGAAAATTTGGTCTCTAGCATCTAATGGGTAAACCAGTGAGAAACAATTAGAAGAGAACAACCAGTGAAAGAGAGGGGGAGAAAACAGTTAAAAGCCTGTGCTGCTTCACGGTCTTATTTTTTCATTATTGTTTGAGCTACCGTTTAATCAGTGCTGTGTAAACAATGGTGTTATTGCCTTCATGTTTATGAGCAAGATTAGCATATTAACTATGAATTACAGAGAGTCATTAGTAAGTCATCTGTTCTGCCCATTCAGCAGTAATGAACATAAGCACTTGTTGCTTTGGAAAGCAATACATCAGCTGGACTCCAAGTAAATATTTCCTTTTTAATGGCACCGCATACAGAGTGTTCCCAAAGTGCATCAAGATTTTGGAGAGTAACAAGTGCTATGTATTGTAAGGCAAAGTGCCCTTTGGACAAAACTTCAAAGGTGAGCATCTTAATTGTGGTGGAAAAGGTACAAGGGATGTAACTGTGATAATTGGTGAGGCACTGCGTGTGCGTTTTGAGCCATTTATGTACAGAACATATTCCCATAAATCTTGTGTGTAAAATGATGCTTACGTGTTTGGAACCTTGAACCAAAAGTCTTTGGATTTGTTTTAAAGTGGAAACATTGGAAAGTCAGAATTTAATTCCAACCATGTTGTTTGTGCTCACTGCTCTCTGGTGAAGAAAGAGTTCTTCCTCTGCCTATGTCTGGTAGTAAAATATTTTCCCAAGAAGCATGTGGGAAACCTTCCAGTAAATAATTATGGAATAATCTATCTGGGGAGGACATTTATTTCCAACCTCTATGATTTTTATGCCCTGAACCAATAAGGTTTGTATTTTCTTTCTTGAGACCAACTAAGTTTTTGGTCATAATAGCATCTTGTGGCAGTTAGCTTTTTACCAGGCTGTGGATCTATGTTTAAAAGGAAAAATTAAAAGTAAATAAATCAGAGACTTTAAATTCCCTAGGCATCTTTCTTCTGCCTTAGGTTAAATAAAATCAAACTCTACAGAAGTCGAAGCTCCACTGAAATGGCACAAGTCAATTTAGGTAAAGTGAAAAGTGTTGTTTTAGTCTGAGTAAGAGACGTGTTGAGATACGGTTTTCCTTGCACTGCTGAACAAATATACTGATACAGCTCATACTTGTAATTTTTTGGTGTTAGAATTTCTTTCTCCATATAATTCCTGATTTATTGGCATGATTACAGTTTATATCATCACAAGATCAGAAAAAAAGGAAAGCATAAATTCATTAATATTAGGAAAGCACTGAGACATTCCAAGTTTCACTGAGAGATCAGGATTGAGTGTGACAGTCACAGGTGATTATATTTAAGGAAGAAGTGTAAAGGCTGAAATTGGTGCCTGACTGCTTTCTAGAAAAAAAACAAACCTGTATTACTGCTCTAGAAAGGAGCAGTATCTGTTTATTGACTATTCCATGTGACTACAGGAAATCAGAGACTGAAGCTGGTATAAAATGGCTCGATAATGTAGTATCCCCAACAAACATCACCAAGGTTACTTGTCATTGTACATAAAGAAAGAGGATGTGCATTATAATAAGGTTTAATACATTCTAAATATGGAAATATTTTAAGAGATGCATACTCTCTCAGCAGGGGTCTTGCAGTGATGCAGAGAGGATGATGGAGTGCTGCTACCTTTTAAGTTAGAAAAATGACTTGCTTTTACTTAATTGATAACTTAGTGGGGGGAGTATTTTGGCAGATATCTGGAGGATTTAGACTCCTGAAGGCAGTGCTTATTAGTTATGTTCTCACGTTGACAAAGTAACTGACAACCTTCTGTCTCTGTTGGCAGCTAGTTACGTCTTAAAAAAGCATTTAAGGATCATCAGGAGCTCTATTTTTCACCTTACACCTTGTCTCCAAGGATTTACTTTGTCATGTGCTCGGTAACTAGAATTTCAGGGCAATGGACAGTTGCAGCTGGCGAGAGTCTTGGCTTCGTTGAGCTAATTCTGGGTTTTGCTACGGGTTAAATCAGCTCTGGAAGAGCTAAGCAGCGTGTGCCTATACAAACCAAGCAATCTGCTCTGCTTTGCTTCAACCTTGTGCTGTGCAAGGCGATTGTTCTCAAGTGTTAAAAAAATCCCCAAACAGTGCTTACAACTCCCTGTCGAAACAGCAAGGCTAGGGAGGAGATTGGCCATGGTGGCACTTTCCCTTGTGGGAAGAGTGACAAGGGATGGAACAACAGCTCTGGTTTTTTTGGAGCTAGTCCATTTGATAATTGGCATTGTCAAAGAGAGGGGTGACAGTCCCATCTTTCCACTCAATGAGGATCTCTCCATGCCTCAAGGAAGGGGAGCGAGAGGGTGGAAGGTATGGCTGGGGACCTCTTCGCAAGGGAGGTGGCTCCCGTAAATCAGCTCTGCTGCCGTTGGCTGGGGAGCTCTTCAGAGCAGAGAGGATTTTCTTCTTCCTAGGAGAAGAGAGAAGAAGAGGGCACGTAACTGCCTCTGCCTGTCACTTGGTTGCTTCTCCACGTCAACTGGTTCAGCAGCCACGGTGTTCACGTTCTCTAAACCTCCAGGGATGGCACAAGGTGTGTAGGAGAGGAGGGGAAAACATTAGTGGCTGCATTCGGATGGAATAGTGAGTGGGAGGGAAAAATGGGAGGGAGAAACAGGGTGGCAGGGAGGAGAAATCATCAAGGGTGACATCATGGGTAAGCAGGCACATCTGCTCAGGGCCAGATACTTCAGGTGTGGGATGGGGAAAGGTGCCAAGACCAAAACTTCTGTTTCAAAATGCTGGACAGGGAAGTGGCAAACATTATAAAGCCAAATCTCACTCACTTGTTGTAATGAACATTGAGTGTCAGTATTATCAATCCCAGTATGAATGCCAAGGGGCTGAGGACCAGCATGGCCGTCTTCCAGTTGGTACCTGAATGAATATCAGAAAACAGTCATGTGTTTGCTGTACCTGTCCCCGTTCTTATGCAATAACCACTATTGCCACCAAAACCACCTGTAATGTCCTTGAAGACTAGCAGATAACAGGAAGAATGCTTTGTCTATAAGATCAACATTTTATCTTTACACTGCACAGCATCCCTCTATTGAAATGGCCACAAAAAGGTGGAAGGCAACAGCTATTTATGCTTCTCCACTCTGCAATGCTCTGATATGAAATAAAAAGGGCTGGGGGAAGGCACCAGTGCTAGTGGGTATCTGTTTCTCCTGGTGAGCTCGCACAAAGCATTTGCATGTTTTTACTCACTTTTATACTCCAGGCCTGGGGAGATTTGTTTAATCTTTAAATGGAGTTTTTCTGACAGGTAATTTGGTGCCCTCATTCCCTACTGAGCATCCTCAGCAGGACCCAGGGGAATGTAACTCTTTATTGATGGCAAGGTTGGGGACGCTGATGATCTACCTGGTCTCTTCCTTCTCTGGCTGATCACTGGACCTACCTGCAAGCCTGGCCCCAGCATTTTTTCCTCGATTTCCATGATGCTTTTTAGAGTGATTGTGGGCTGCATCTGGGGGAAGAAGCAGAGAGACACAAATTAACAGCTTCCACTGTTGGACTGGAGGAAGCTCCAGCTTCCTCCTGGGACTGCACTTGGTATGGAGTCAGAAGGGAAAAGAAAACTTTCTTGTTCCTCAGCATTTTCCAACCACAGCTATTTTTTTCTCCTAGAACATCTGATGGCTGTGCTTCCAGGTTAGGACTATGGCCATGTCACCGAGCCCTTTGCCAAGGCTAACTTCTTAACATGTTGTGGGAGAGCAAAGCCTTGAACCACTCAGTGGCACACATGGAAGTTCTTCAGAAGTACTTAGGTACTTACCAGCACTGAAAATACTTGAGTAATCAATCTCTAGATGCCGCCCACACTTTACTTCCTGCTGTTCTCACATATGCATGCAGGAGAGAAAAGTGCTCACCCTCATTTGCTGGGAGGTGTGCCTGTTTGGTCTTCGCTGGAGACATTGTGCTGTTAAATCTGTTAGCCAGTGGTGGGTCAGTCAAGCTCACAGAAGGTTCTCTGTCCATGGCATCTGTCTTTGATGAATCGATGGTTTTAGCTTGGAAGGAAACAAAGCAAAGGTGTGTGGGGTTATCATTCACTTTGTTGTACAGAAACCTGGATACGCTCAGTGCCTGGCAAAGGAAAGGAAGGAAAGCCGGCCCTGCATGTTAGCTCTATCCTACAAGGACAACAGGACATGGTGCAATAGCAATCACCTCTGCCTGTGCACCGAAGGCCCTCAGTTGTCACAGATTTCAGAGATTAAATGAACATTTCAAGACTGAATCCACTGCCAAAGCAGAGCTTGTTTTCTGGTGGTAAATAAGGTCATTGGTCTAAAAAGTATGAGTGCAACATCAGCTGTTAAAAGATGAGGTGTGAGGAAGAGGTGAGTGGAAGCATCACAGGTATTACCAACCCAACAGATGAAGAAATGGGATCAAAAGGGTGGTAAATAGTCCATACCCCTTGCAAGGCTCAACAGTATCCTTTGCCTTGCCAGTCTTACTGTAGAAGTAGAGTATGTAGTAGAGTAGCAACTACTCCTAGAGTATAAGTTGTGGGAAATCTCCTGGCAATAGTCACCCTCTCCTGCACTGATGGATGTGGCAAGATCATGAAAACCATGTCTGCAGGGCTCCTGGCTGCTTATCCCAACCCCATCCTTTCCTGTGGCACATGGGTGTAATTTGGTCACAAATAACTCACTGAAGTCAAAGTGTAAAATCCACTGTCTGTCGATGCTCAACTGGAACTTGGCTAAGAAAGGCCTAAGCATCGGACATAGGACTTAGATGTTGTTACCAAGTCATCAGAGGTTCCCTCCAGTAAACTCTGAACCGTGGGGTTGGTAGGAAAATTATCAGTTTGCACAAGACACACTAACTGGCACAACCTGATTCAAAGCCGGCTCTGTGTTTACCCTCGCAGCCTTATTTGGGGAGCCTGGCTCCCAGGCAGCCCTGGGCTGCCAGGAACATTGCCTTGGGGAATGAAAATGCCCTTTTCACATGCCTTTTTCCCATATCTTAAATGTTCCACACATTTCCTAGCCTATATTTAACTAGCTTATTATGGTATCTAATTTGTATTGGCTGTATTTACCTTCATGTTAAATAAACACTAATGCTTGTGACTACCGTGATAATTACATGTTAACCTTCTAGTTGGCTAATTAAAAACCTCAGTAAAAAGACCATCTTATCTGCACATGACAGCCAAAAAAGCTATTGTATCTCTTTTTATTTCAAGTTAGATATAACTTTTTTTTTGTGTCAAAAGGTTATATTCACAATCCATTTACTTATGCTAACCTGATTAATCACATTTTTCCTTTGCTCATTTATGCAAAGCTGAAAATCTCATTGGGGCTATCAGGCCGTAAGGTAAGGAACAGCCTCATGTAAGGGAAATAATTTCCCCTGAGTTGGGAACTTCATCACCTACAGAGTGGACAAACACAGAAAAGCCATTAGGAACACCAGCTCTTTTCTGGTCCCTGGAGTAGAAGAAGGGAGAGGAGGAGAGGATGGGCAGAGGAACTGAGTGTGATTTTTGGGTCTCGGTTTTGCACACATCATCACAAGACAAATCTTGAAACCACCTTCCTTTGCATAAGGGAGTAAATGAAAGAGGGAAACAGACTGGATCATGAGTTGTCAGTGGTCACGAATGAGTTTCACTGGCCATCTGACAAATTATGGCAGTCACATCTTGGTGCAATGACCATGCCTGGTGTCTCTGAGCCTGGTGTCAAACACCTAGAAGTATGACAGGAACAGGGTTTCTGCCATTTTTGTGTTCAAAATGGCAGAGGGCAGTGAGAACTCATGAAGGCAGTGATTAAGTTCTTTTTAGCAGAGGCCAAGGCCATAAAGCTATTAATATAAAACTGTATTTTTATGTTCTTTTGATCTCATGTTTTGGCTTTTCTTAATGCAAAGGGAGGGCAGTGCTTTGACTGCCTCCCACCACTTGCTGTGTTCATTAGTTTCTTTATGATTACATCAGGCACCAGGAGCAAGGTTCACTTTTGAGGATCATGAGAGCATGGGATGAAAGTTAGAACCACGGTTTCATTAGTGATAGCTGCACTGTTGGGGTCTGGCAGGAGATAACTGTAACGTGTTGCTTAGAAACCAGAGCAACAATTTCTCATTTCAAATATAGCTGCTTCTCAATAATTCATACAAGTTTAAAAGAGGTTTCTAGCTGCCTCCAGTTTTCTTGTTTCCAAAAGCGACATCCCAAAGTACAAAGTACCAAAAGCCCCTTAAGTGGCTGACTTTATGGGACTTCATCGGTTGTTTGGAACTTGGGACGCTCAAGCAATTTCAGCTATTCCTACTTCTGGGCACCGATTCAGGTGAACTTTCCAAAATACTTGACTTTTGCCTGTCTTTAGAAAGGTAGCTGGGGTTTAGAGACCCGATCCTGTAAGGTGTTGCACGCTTTCTGGAAAGCACTGGACAGGAACTACTGGAAACCGGTGGTACCAAGTAGTTGGGCTGACTTGGAGCCATTTGGTATCTCTCCAGATGGGGACCAAGCTAACATGAGTTACAATGAAGGATGCGAACCTGGTGTTAGATGGCTTGAATGAGATGTAAGGTTAGGTGTTATCTGATGCTAAATCTACCTCATCTTACTTTCATAGATCCACACACGTGTGTCAACACCTTGTTGTGTTGGTTTGCTGGGCGTCAGAGCTGCTGCCCGGGCAGCAGCACAGATGGTTTCATCTTCTAAAGTCTTCCATCTGCTGAATTTGTCCTTCTCCCTTGAGACAAAGACCTTGTGGCCTCCTTCCTTGGTGCTGAGGTAGAAGCCCAAGCTCTGCAGAGTCAAGTGCCCCTTCTTGCTGCAGGACCATGCCTGGCGTTCCCAGTCCCCACAGGGCTCCAGCTTGACCAGGGCATTCTCCCGCATCTTGTGGGCTGACAAGCACTGCTTCGTTTGAAGGCTGATGATGGTCCCAGTGGTGGGATCCCAGCTCCACTGCTGCTGCTGGGACAGCACCTTGCAGTCGGTCAAGCTGATGGCGTTGGTCTCATGGTGGGAGACACGAATGCACTTTTCCAGCCGGGTGTTCCTTATGAGGAAGCCTTGTCCCTCTGCTACTGCAGTACAATCAAAGCATGGTTTAGTAGTGGGCATGTCTGAGGTAGACATGTCTTCTGAGCACCAGACATTGTAAATGGCCTGGGGAAGGGGAGACATAACCCACCAATCCTTTTCTGGATGGGCACACCTGGATAAACAGTTCCCCTAACTTCCTAATGCCCCAGAACATCTTTTCTTTAAAATAGGTGATGTGCAAATAGCCACGAGCAATGCTAGAGAAAAATAACCACCATATAAGTAACACATGTAACTAATGGGGAATACCTCACCATCCTTGAAAAGTTGTACTGTTATGAAATACTTGCCTATATATATTTAAGTGAATATTTCAACTGGTTATAACTTTAAATAGGTACCCATCTTCCCCTTCCTCCAAAATAGTTGGATGGTTTGAGGGGTTTTTTTGCCTCTATCTGGACCAAACCCTCTTATAAAAAAGCAGTTGAACCCCCTAAATTTCCCAGGTGCTATTCACATGGGGCCAATTAAGCCACCTTGGGCTACTGTTTCCATTAAGTGGCTTCTGATGATATTACAGCAACTCCCCATTCAGAAGTCTGGAAGTACTTGGCTGACTCAGCTCACGTAGGTATTGAAATAAACACGGATTTAGCACACTTGACATTCGTCTGTGCTTGAAAGGCATGAAAGTACCATTTTTAAGGATCCCTGTCTAAGGGAGAAACATTACAGCCACCCCACAACAGACACACAATTTGAAGCAGTTTCTCTAATCGCTTGTTGCTTTTAATAGCGTTGGGTCCCAGCTTCTCTGATAACTTGGGATGGATGTCATCCTGTCAGCTGGACAAATGCTCCTTTTTTCAGTACAAAATCATCAGGTGTGGCCTGTGAACATCCTGACCAAAATGTTAAACGCTAAAACATCTGTCACTGATTCAAGTCTATCTTCTGCTGTGTATTTTATGCCTAAGACAGATCGATAGAAATGAAAGTTTCAAGTTTCTGCACATTTTGAGAAATCTTTAAATTACAATTAACACATGGTAAGTCCCAGCTATTGTGGTGACACATTTTCCCTTTTTTCCCCAGGAGTCAGAGTTAGAAAAGCCCCATCAACGTGCAGTATTGAACATAAAGAGTAAGAGGAGACTGAAAAGTGATGTTAGACAAAAACACTGATGTTTATCTAAACAACTGCTTCTGCAGAGTTTCCCTTCCCAAAGCAAAGAACAATACTTTTCCCTGGCAGCAACTATTTGGCTCAGTACCTGAAAAAGCTAACGACAGTGTAAACAGAAGCCGGTACACAATACCGAGGGTATGAAAAATAGCTTAAAAGAGCTCTTATGTTTTCCCTCAGGAAATTCTAGGGGTCTGCCACATTAATACTGCCTGCGGGATGTTAAATCAGAAACAACTAGGGGCTTTTTGCTCAGCCTGAATGCATGGGGAGAGGCAGCCAGGAACCGCGGAATGACTCCTGCGCCGGCTCCGAGATGAGGATGGATGTGTCTGCGCTGGGATATTGAGTTTCATTGACCTGTGGTAGCCACCAATCCAGGCAATTCCTAGCAAGGCCGTGTGCCTAAGTGGAAATTAAATTTCTGTGGGATCTGTGGATAGCTCATGAGTCCTGTGCTCTTTATTCCTTATTGAGGGCTGGCTGGATGGAAGATGTTTAATGCACCTTGGGCTTGAGTTTCTACCAGCTTCTGGAGGCACGAGAAATGTCTCATGTATAATCTCCCATAGTCTTTAGAAAATCCAAAGGGATGAATACAATCCCCCCCACCATATCTTTTTCTAGGACCTGGAATCCAGGTTTCTTACCTCTTTGCTTCATCTTAACTGGGAGAAACCCATTTCCAAAGTAATGACTTGAGAGCTACATAAAAATGTAACAGGGGAATATGAGAACTGTGCTGGGTCAGATAAAATATCTGCTGAGCCTGGTATCCACTCCAGCACTTCTCCTATTAGCATTTGCTAATAGGGGAAGAGGGTAAGAATCAGGCTTGTAAAGAGCTCACACAAGACAGCAAGGACACCAGTGCTTCTGTCCAAAAATATACTGGCTATTTAAGAGAGCTCACTGGGTATCTATGGTTAAAATGGTTTTGCCCATGTACACTACTTTGTATTTTTCAACTCTGGAGCTAAAAAAACTTTTTATTGCTCAATGTGTATTGTCATATCTGCAGCTGTGCACAGTCAACTTCAGTTTTGATTATTCTTAATAATTTTGTGCCATCAGCAAAATTAATTACTTTGTTATTCACCCTTTTGATCTTTGTTGGCGTCTGCTGATACCTTCACTCCCTGAACTTGTCACTGAGTTGTCTTGTCAACTTATTCCACATCTTTGTTCCAGCCTGTGGGCTATCTTCATGAAAGTTTCTTGTGGGCCCTGGAGGAAGATTCTCATCAAAAGTCTATTGCAGATGCAAGCGCAAGGTCTAGGACAGCTCACCATAATTATGCACTCATTGATGCCATCATGGATGTCACAGATTCCCTCTACAAAAGCTCTATTGAATTTTCTCCTATTTATCTGTCTGCTTGAAAATTCTGACCATGTCTGAAGTGAGCACCAGAACCAATAAGTCATTCAGCCTTTCTACACTGCCCTGCTTTGGTTGCTCTTCTTACATTTAAGCCAGTTATTTATTGGCCTCCTTACCCAAACAAGTTCCTACTTCAGATATATTTGAAAATTTCTGTTGGTAGCTTTTTCATACTCTCATTAGTTTATTCCTCTAAATCTTTTTCTCATATATTTTATTATGGGTTTTGTTATGAAACATGCTAGAATCTATGCTGTTTTTAATTTTCCTTGCTTGGCAATGCCTGTCCATTTGAAAGTTTCATTTTTTTAATGAAATGTTGAAGAGTGTTTCTGCTTAACTCAACCAGCAGATTTGTGCTTTGTTCCCTGTGTACAGTCCCTGATGTTGTACGTTCCCCTCTAAAGAATCACTGTTACCTGCGTATTAGCAGCAAACATCATGTGCCCCCTTATTACCTACCAGGCTTTTCCACTTTTCATCTGCCCCTTTCTAGCAGCTTTCTTGGTTCTATTCAGGTCTCAGGTTGCAGAGAAGGTCTAAGGCAGCCCGTGTGCCATGGGAATACATGTGAGCTGAGGAACCTCAACACTGCAGCTGAAGAGCTTTCCTTTGAGATACTGTATAGCTCCTCAGTAAGGTATGACACCAAGCTATTAATAGATTTTTATCTTCACACCATACCTCAGGTCTGAAAGTGTAACCACCATTTTGCAGCTTGGGAAGAGAGGTCTAGCTGAACTTTGCTTGGTTCAAAGTTACACGGGAGGGTGGCAGCAAAGCTGGGGCCATAATCCTTTTCCTCTGAACTGTGGTCTGAGTGTCTTCCCTACTGACAGTGATGTTGAGCTCTCTGTGAGGCTGGCTATCAACCTTCCTTGTGGTGTTTGGTGTGACCCTTGCCAAGCAAGATGTGGACCTGTGTCCGTTGTACAGTTCACCATCCACTACCATCCACGTACATCATTGCTTTCCTGAGGTTGAGGGGTTGCTGTCTAAGTGAGCAACCTACAATCAGATACAGGTAACTGGCAGCAGTCATTGCACATGCCCCACACAGTCATAAGGGGTAGACCCACAGATAGAGCTGGAGTACATTTACTTTGGGATACACATCAGGCATCAAGAATTCTTACTTAGGAGACAATATGACTTTTTTTTTCCCCCTAACATTGCCGAGTCCCACTGTCCAGAAGCCCTGCAAATAAGGCCATCATCCCTAACATTTTGGGAACGTTAACTTGCAGCTAGCAGAGCATCCAAAGTACTCCTTGGGGGTGGAAATCAGCATCTCTGAAAAATGCCAGCCTTACCCACAGCGCCTGAGTAGATGCCTGCTTTGAGCTGCTCATGCTTGAACATTTTGGCCTCTTCTTATTTTTAGGAACAAAATAAACAATTTCTAGCAAAGGCGCTTGATGCCAGCCCATTTGTCCTATGATGCTGCCACTCTGGTTACAAGAAAGAAAAGCAAGCAAATATAGCCCACTGCTTCTCTGCAGCATTGCCACTCTTGGGACATGCTGTTCCTTGTAGGATTAAGAGCAAAACCCATGCAACGTTCCTAATTAAGGTAATGCCACCAGATAAGCCTTGGTTGCCAGTAATCCCAGTCTGGTTTGGAAATTTTCTGCTGTTTCTAAGCAGTGCCTGTGATGGTTTGTTGAAAGCTGTTTGCAAAATGTTTGGGGATGGGTTGCTCCCTCTAAAGGGTCTGAGAAGGGAAGGGATAAGTCAGAGAGGAGGAGGCACAAGTTCCCAAAACACTCCATGTCACCCAGGAACCTCAGTATTGGCTTTGGCCACTTTTGCCCTCCCCAGTGGGGTTCCTAACTCTTGGAAAAATCTTTTAATTAGCTCGATTTCTCATTGCTAAATGTGTATTTTCTGTAGGGAGAAGACAACCACTGAGTCATGGCCAGGAATTTACCTTTTCCTGCCTCTACCTGTACTTGAAGGCATCCATCTGTGGCAGCCACAGTACCTCTCCTAGGGACTGCTTTGTGGGGACATCCTACAGCTCAGAAGAGCTCCCAAACTTGGCTCTTCTTGGGAACTGCCATATGACACAAGATCATCCCAAGTCACCCTTGCAGTAGCAACAGTGGCTTGGAGAAATGTCTCCAAGGTGTCTCTGCTGCTTCCACCCAACATGAGCACAGCACTGGGGGTACATGTGCCATGTCTGAAAAAATTTGGAGCCAGCAGTGCTGTAACCTGAGTTATGGTGGGACAAACCACAGAGTTTCCTGCTCAGGTTAGTCTGCCTCTACTGTTCTCCACTGCAGTAGATTGCATCTTCTCTATGGAACAGGAATCAGCGGAGACTGACCCACACCATTCTCATATACATTACATATATTTGCCTCCTTGCATAACTCCCCCTGAATATCAGCTCTCCCAGGATTGAGGGTCACCTTGTCTGTTGGACTATTGCAGCAGTTCAAGGGGCATCAGTTGGGAAGAAAGTTTTGAAGACTTACATCCTTCCAAGTTGCCCTGCCAGCAATTTTGGTCTCTGCCCTAGCCGTAAAAACAAGCATGAGGGAC